ATATATATATATATATATATATATATATATATATATATATATATATATATATATATTACAAATCTTTGTCGATGAAAATTATTATTAGGAAATATATGAAAGATCAAAACAAAACACAAGACACATTAGTCATTGACCTCAAGCAAAGAGAAGTGACATATATTCTTAAATATATTAGTGCTACTGTTTTGAACCCATAATGGTTTTATGGTATGGACTAGATGGTGGCTGATAATAGTAAGGCGAGGCTGGTGGACTTGGTATAGGAGATGGTGGTGGAGGGGATGGAAAACCATATGAGGGTGGAGATTGACCTTGTGATGGTGGTGGTGGATATGATCTTACCGGTGGCGTTTTTTTATGGGAGGGTGGTCGATGATGGTGGCGAGATGATGGTGGACATTTTGATGATGGAGGTTGTTGAAAGCCATGAGAAGGTGGTGGGCTTGCATACAATGGTGGTGGACTTTGAGGTGTTGGAGGTGGTTGATGGCCTTGAGATGGTGGTGGGGTTTGAGACGATGGAGATGATTGATAACCTTGAGAAGGGGGAGGACTAAGAGATGATGGAGGCGGTTGATGGCCTTGTGATGGTGGTGGATTTTGATATGGAGGTGCTTGATAACCTTGATTAGTTGGTGGACTTTGATATGGTGAAGGTGGACTTTGTGATGAAGGTGGTTGACCTCCTTCAGATGGTGGTAGGCATTGAGACGGGGGTGGCTGACATCCTTGAGAAGGCAGTGGAACCTGAGATGTCGGAGGTGGTGGATTTTGAGATGGAGGTGGCTGATAACCTTGAGAAGGGGGTGGACTATAGGATGAGGGAGGTGGTTGATGTCCTTGAGATGGTGGAGGTTGATGACCTTGCGATGGTGGTGATCGATAGCCTTGAGAAGGTGGAGGACTATGAGATGTTGGAGGTGGTTGATGGCCTTGAGATGGTGGTGGACTTTGAGACGATGGAGGGGGTTGATGGCCTTGAGATGGTGGTGGATTTTGAGACGATGGAGGGGGTTGATGGCCTTGAGATGGTGGTGGTTGATATCCATGAGTTGGTGGTGGACTTTGAGATGGTGGAGATGGTTGGCAACCTTGAGATGGTGGTGGACTCTGAGATGATGGTGGTGGTGGGCTTTGAGACGAAGGGGATGGTTGATAACCTTGAGAAGGTGGTGGTTGAGATGTTGGAGGTGGATGATGGCCTTGAAATGGTGGTGGTTGATTACCTTGAGATGATGGTGGTGGAATTTGAGATGAGGGTGGTTGATATCCTTGAGAAGGTGGTGGACTTTGAGATGTTGGAGGTGGTTGATGGCCTCGAGATGGTGGGGGAGTTGCATAAGATGGTGGACTTTTTGATGATGGAGGTGGTTGAATGCCTTGAGATGGTGGTGGATTTTGTTGCGAGGGAGGTGGCTGATAACTTTGAGACGGTGGACTTTGAGGTGATGTAGGTGGTTGATTGCCTTGAGAGGGTGGTGGATTTTGAGATGATGGAGGTGGTTGATAGCTTTGAGAAGGTGGTGGACTTGCATAAGAAAGTGGTGGACTCTGAAATGTCGGAGGTGGTTGGGATGGTGGTGATGGGTTATAGCCACCGTATTGATTTGGCATTCTTCCACCACCAACCACATCAGGAGTGGTGGTCCAGATTGTCACTAGTGTGACCAAGAGCACAAACTGTGATTTTGTTAGTTTCATTGTTAAACCTTATGCCTTATGATAAATCAAGTGGCATAAGTAGCCTTTATATAGTAAAAACATTTGCCCTCATATGTCAAAACATTGTCACATGACCATGCACGTGATATATACATGCATAGAAGTTGGCGTTATAAATCCTTCATTTCTTGAAGAGGTTTGACCATCTTTTACTACTATGCATATGAAGTTTGACCTTCTGAAAGCTTAGTTTCCAACATCTGTTTTAATAATCGTATAAAAGAATGTATGTTTTATAATTTATATGTATACTAATTAAATCAAATGTGTGACATACACTATTTTGAATATAAAATCATGTACACTAATAAAGCTATTTTAATTGGTCCATATAACAGTACATAGATTAGTAAATATTTGAGTAAAATCAAGGATCCAAATTCTGGTAATACGAACACAAAAACATGTAGAATGTTTTCAGGTTTCCATTTTTATGATGCCTCGTAAATTGGAAAAATAATGATGATTGATAAAAAAAAAGAAAAAAATGATTCACTGGAGTCTAATGCTTAGATAAATGCGATGCTTTATTTATTATTATATTTCTTTACTTTTTATGGTTACAATGTATGTAAAAACTCTTTGATTTAACAATATAAATAGATTTTTACGATTTTCACAATAGTATATTTTCTTATTGGTATCTGAAAAGAATTTGTTGTACAGTTGTCTTGCAATTAGAATAGACAAGTTGTGATGACATTTAGGAGAGTTATATCACACTGGTATTTCCCAAGCCTCTTTGGCATGAAATATGGCCATTATTCGAGGGGTGTTGTTCGAGCGTTACAAGGATGATAGAATTCGTTGGGATTTGAAATACGAAATCATTGTATGTAACTATATACAAATTTAGTAATATCTCACTCTTTGTCACGGATTCTAATTATTTAGTTTGATTTGGTTCGGTTTCGAAGGTTGTTACTTATTGTTACTAAATAAATAGTAAACAAATCTCAGGTTTGTTCCATTTAAGACTTTAAGTACTTGAACTTCTCTTGCAACTTTTTTACCACTTTCATTTATGTTTTATTCATGTGAAAAAAAGTTAAAAAGTAACTTGTTTATTTGGTTGATCATGTTTGACTATGACATGACAATTATATGTCTCAACTTGGAAACCACTGTCACTTGAAAAAAAAAGTACAAAAATAAAATAAATATAGTGTTAATTTGATTCTTTGTCGTAATAAATAAGAGAGAAAATGCAATTTCTTCTTCATTTGCGAGAAAAGGTTAATGTCATAAAATGAAACAACAATACGTGGTTTACAACTTAGGTCATTTGTCTTTTAATTATATCAAATAGACCACTAAATTATTTTTTGGGTTCTTAAGATGTAGATATCAATAAGATAAACTGCTAACGAATTCTATGTGGTGTCCGTTGTTGCGACATTCTCATTTTCACAGTCAGAAAATACTTTTTTTATTTATTCTTATTTTAAAAGAGAGTATTTATAAATTTGCGGAATTTGTTCTCAAAACATAATATTTGAATATATCCAAAGAAACATATTTCATTATAAAAAAACTTTGAGATGTCATCGTCAATACAGATACATAAGCATAAACTTGTTTTAACATGCCCTTACATCAATTTATTATACTATGGCCTAACAACTCCTCAAATCACTCATCAACTCTGTGTCTTCGTACTGCTACCTGTGATACAAAGAAACTAAGTGGGTCAAGTTTGAAGGTCTGATGAGTACATATAGTTTTCAACCCACAACAATTAAGTTTTTTAGTCATATAATTCACATCAAATAATTCTCCTGATTACATATTCTTATTATTCTCACTTACTGATCATAAAATATTGATCTCATGGAACCTATCCTAAGAATCATCATCAGCAACGGATAGACAATACTGCTTCGGGGATTCCTATAGCATTATATGTTAATAAGACAACCATGAGGGATAAAGTACGTCAAATGAACAGATAGTTCATTAACACCTACAGGTTGTGAGTCTGCCAACATTTCCACTGGATTGTCTAGAATAGTTTGTGGTTACCATCTATACTTTGCTAGATATCATCATTTTCATCACTCATCACTACCTAATATATTTTATATATGAAAATACATATACGATTAAATCATATAATTCATCTAACACAAATATCAGATAATAGACACACATAGCATTTAATCATCTACATACTTTATATATATATATATATATATATATATATATATGTGTGTGTAAACTGAAAGTAACTATGCACTCACTTGTTAAAGTGGATGACTGGAAAGTTGGGCAGCGCTTCGCTTCAGCACTTAGTTTTTCCTTTGATGTGACCTAAGTTCAGTTATCACTAAGTCTTAGTTTATTATTTCTTATGACTAATGATAGTCTAGATTCCACAACAATCCAAATGTCTACATCAAGATCTATCAAGTAAGGAACAACCAGGTAGGATCATATTGGAGGTAGGGTCCGTTTGGTATACAGAGTATATTGTTTGAAAAATCCCACTTTAAACACATCGCTAAATTCAGTCTAGACATCATCCCTGTAAGTAGATCAATCAGTATATTGACATGGAATCACTGATAAATCTTATTTATAGATTCATAATAACGATTATGAATATAAATATAAGTTACACTAAAAGTAATATGAATATAACTTAACTTACAAAGATTTTCCTAACAAAAGTCTAGAAATTGCACTGCCAGAACTCCGACTCGAGAGCTACTAATGTCGGGTACCTAGGGAGGCAGGGACCGCAGGGCTTCGCAAAAATACCCTAAATACTAAGAAAAATTGGGCTAGAATCGAAAGAAACTCAAGAAAGGAGTTGGGGTTTTGATTTGTGAGGAGCATATACGGATGACAACTCGTATATATAGAATTTAAAAAAGCGCGTTGATGGGATGTCAAGTCCACCAAGCAAATTACACCCTTTGTTTGCAAATAAAACGTAATATAATGGTAAAATAGGGTATCGATCCTCGGGAAAATGGTTGTATTCAATCACCAATGCAATCTAATAGAACTAGTGTAAATAAACTAACTAACTACAATTAAATTAAAAGGGGGTGTTGTGATTGCTTGAAAACTAAAAGACTTGAATAACTAAAAAGCTTGCAATTAAGCAAGATGGTGAGATGCTCAAATGTTGGGAACAATTGGTTAACCAAGACAATTCAACACAATGAACATTTGTGTGTTTATCATTAGGATTCAATACAAAGCTTATCATTCATCTCAAATTGGTTATAGCAATCATGAAACATGATATGTCAAGATTCCTCATAGGTAGTATGGAGGTTGTGGAAGCCCACAACACACCTTCTTAATCAAAATCAAAGATCCAATTGAAGCAATTGAACCCAAGAAGTTGATTAGCCTTAAGAATGAAGGAATCCCTAATTTCTAGAGGATGTCAATGCTTACACATCCATAAAGGAGCTATGATTCATAAGCTAGAGATGATTTCTACCATCATAAAGCTCTTGTTCTAAGTAAATTCAATGATTCAATGCAAAACCAAAGAAATAAACCAACAATTGCTCATTCAAGTATCAAGCTCATGATCAAAGTATCAAACAAGCATAAGAAATATGAACTAGAATCATAAACATGAGATAATTGATAA